AGCTTGCTGAAAACTACTCAGACCTTTATGAGTAGTTTTTAAAGGTGTTCTCTCTCTTACTCTGAGGGAAAAGTGTATTTCAATTGTTCTGACTAGATCTTTGTGGACACTGTGAACAGCACTGTGCCTGACATGAACATTTAAAAACAAGAAAATAAAGTGAATGAAGGAGGATGAAAGAGAAACGCACAGTCGATAAACTCCCTTTTCAGAGTTACCATGGACACAGGTAACTTCCTTGCTTTTTTTTCTTACTAGCATTACAGTGTATTTTATTTTCTTTCCTAACCAGTTTTCATGGAAAGGAAATGCTGAAAAACATGCCCTGATGGTTGAATTTATGCTTTTTTTCATTCAAATCTTTTCAGGGGTGGGTGGTGAAGACTGGGGAAAGATGTAGGTTGTGTGATTTTATCATTTCTTATGATGACGCTGCCAGGTAATGAGTATTTATATTCTGACATGGTCTCATTCTTACTTCCAAGTGTCTGGTTAATCCAGCACCAACCGCAGATAAAGAATACATGGGGGATTTGAACTCGGCTTCCCAGACATCTCCTGGTGGGCACTGTCCTTGCCAACTGATGTTTATGGAGTAGCTGGCTGGCAGAGACTCTGTCAGCACTGTGAATCCTACATGTTTAAGTATGTACTGTCCTCTGAAGAATTTGATGAACTCCTGGTTTCTTCACTTTGGCTGAGGCAGAGCTCATGAAACTGAGGAAGTCCCATGAGCATGGTCCTGCTATGGCCGAATATGTCACCCAAAGTTTCACCTTTTGGAAACAGTCTTTGTTGTAACAGTGTAAAGAGGGTGGGAAATCCAATTAGGGTAACTGAAAGGTTGGCCTTTGAGAGGTGATTGGATTGTGAGGACTGTGCCCTCATGAGTGGATTAATCCATGGATGGTTTAATGGGTGGTCGTGGGCGTGGTTCTGATGGCTTCATAAGGAGAGAAGGGGGAGGCTTAGCTCTCTCTCTTGCTCAGCCATCACCATGTGACACCCTGAGTCTCCATAGAGAGTCACCAGCAAGAAGGCCCTTACCAGCTGTGTTCCCTGGACTTTGGACCTTCCAGCCTCTAAAACTGTAAGAAATAAATTTCATTTCTTTGTAAATTACCCAGTTTTGGGTATTCTATTATAAGCAACAGACATGTATTTATATACCCAGATACAGGAAGAGGTGAACATTAGATACTGGAGAAATCTTTATGTTGGAAAGCTACTTTAGGTGTTTTCAAGAAAGCTGATATTTTGGATTATGTGCACAGTCACAACAGTCTCATACAGACACTCTGTAGGTCTTGGGGGGGTAGCTTGGGAGGTTCTGCTTCCTTAGAATTGTCTTCCAAGAGAGTAAGACCCTCACTCTTTGGCCCCATCACTCAGGCTGAGGCCGAGAGCAGCCATGACAGGCTCCAGGTATGTAGGTACCTGACAGTGGGTTCTGCCACCGGAATAGAGTCAGCTGGGGCACTGGCTGGAAACACAGCTTCCTGATGCTCACTAAAGAGCCCACAGAGTTTCTTGCAGTAGTTCTTGAACACACTTCCAAGATGATTTCTATGCACTGTCACATCTGAAACATTTCTTTTCATAGACTCTTACTTAAAAAGAAGAACTCCCACTGGGATGGTTCTGAAGCTTCCTTCATAAGACCAAGCCTTTGGTTAAAAGCATTAAACAGACGCAGCATCTTAGATGTTTCTATTGGAAATACATGTGTATCTTAGACCAGTCTCTCAGTTTGTGATCCTGTACATCTGAGACAGCTCTGTGTAGGGCATGACCTGGGACTCTGGGCAGAGAACATTAAATATGATGTCAGAACCCGAGTTCCAGAAACTGCATCGCTCCAGCAGGGGGTCCTGCTACCGCATTCCCCAGATGAACTTGGGCAGGGTGGCTGTCGCTTCGTAAAGGCGAAGCCTGCCCTGAGCATGAGCAACAGCTGTGGGAAGAAGCCTGGCCTGCTCCTGCACACGGGCCTGACGGAGCAGCTGGGCCGGGGCCCGAAGGGGAATTGCAGCTGCAGAGACCATGTGCCAGTGGGGCCAGAGGTCTGCAAAGCCAGGCGCTACATGAGCAACAGCTGTGGGAAGAAGCCTGGCCTGCTCCTGCACACGGGCCTGACGGAGCAGCCGGGCCGGGACCCAAAGGGGAATTGCAGCTGCAGAGACCATGTGCCAGTGGGGCCAGAGGTCTGCAAAGCCAGGCGCTAAACACATACACGGGGGTCCTTGATGATAGACAAGGGGTCTGTGATGTATAGACAGAGGGCGCCCATGACGTACAGATGGTGTTTCATGATGTATAGGTGGGGGTTTATGATGTATATGGGGGTCCATGATGTATAGACTGGGGGGGGGTCCATGTGTGTAGACAGGGGTGCATGATGTATAGTCGGTGGTTCCAGGATGTGTAGGTGGGGGGTTCACGTAATATTGTCTGTTTTTCGTATGGGGGTCAGGGCAGAGCAGGATGGGAAAGCAGCTCCTACAGCGATTCTTGGAATATATGTTCCATTTTTTCTTCCTGAATCCAGGCCACATGCAACACAGGATTTTAGGTTAATATAAGTGCTGATGGGTCTGTGAGCCAGGAGGGCCATGAGGTCAGAGAAGAGCGGTTCAGTGCAGCTCCCACCCCCGTGCTGTGTCCTGGGGCCAACTGACTGTCACAGAGTGGTCGCGCCACCTGGTCCCCATTGTGACAGCTCAGGGTTGACACCACGAGAGGAAAGGCGTTGTGCCCAGAATTCACAACATCCCCCACGTTGCACAGCGGCGGGACTGGGCGGCAGGGCCAGGAGGAGCAGGGGCTTTTCTTACTGAAAGAGACCATGCCAAGGACCATGCCAGGGTCCACACTGGGGACCATGCCAGGCCTGGCTGAGGCCACCCATGGGCATGTGCTGCAGGTGGCTCAAATAGCAGTGGGGACACACCTGCAGACTGCAGCCGGGACTTCTCAGAGAGGCCAACCAAGATCTCTCTGAAGGTCGTGGGCAGCCCTGTGGGGGTGGAGGTGGCAGCAGGGCTACCATGG